GTACATTGAGCTGTCTATGGTAACAATTGAAAGACTTTTGCTTTTTTGACATTGCAGATCACAACATAACCAATCAATACCTCTGTCATTGATTCTCAATCGTCTTATACAAAGATGTGTCTTATTTTCCTATCCTGTGGGGTTCTTAGCTGACATACAGCTCAGGGCTGAAATTTTGTCAGATTGTTCAGTAGATTGAGAGGAAAATCACTAATCACTAACTATTTTGATAATTGAATGATTGATAATCATTGAAGTCATACATTAAGCAAAAGGGATAAACATTCTCTCTTTCCAGCTTCTCAAATGCAAGGATTTGCTGCTTTTATCTGTCTCGTACACTGAGTTGGGTTTTGTCTTGACTGGACAAAACACGGAGAATTGGAGAACTTAAGGCTCAAGTATATCACCAGAATATAATCAATAATCAAAATAATTGTTTCTTGCAGCGCTGACACAATCAGTCTATTCTTGTTCATTTTGAGCTCAACAAATGCATTATTCAAAGTGTAATTGGTGATGAATGCTTTTGTCAGTGACATTATTGTCTTCCTTCAATAATAATTAAAAAAGATAAAGTGGTTTTGGAAGTTGAGCCAAAAACCTTGAGAAATGCAGCCGCACTGCTGTAATGTCTCACCTCTCTTCCCCTCCTCCCCTCCCCCTCTTCCTCCTCACCATTGTAGCCATGGTGACAAAGCTGATCGATTAGATGTCATCTGATTCCAAATCAGCAGGAACAATATATGACAGCAGATGGTAACCAGACAGAGAGGAGAACTGAGGGAGGGGGTGGGAAAAGGGAAAAGGGACCAAATTAAAATTAAACGACTTCAGCTTATTTGCATATACAGTGTGTGATTTGTTGGTAACACATGAGGGTGACAGAAACTGGCAAGTGGAAATGATGTAAAAGTGACAGAAAGTAAGGAGAAACAGTTCAGTTGGACTGAAACCTGCAATATATGCAAACACAAACAAACACAAAGGGTCAACATAAACCACCATTGAAAAACAAATTACATTAAATTACATATGCCTTGACATAAAGTTCGAACTAGGAAACATACTGGAAATTATTTAGTTTTACTGTGGGTATAAGTAAAATATTTTGCACATGCATGTTCATTAACACACACAGACACACATGCATGCATGAACAGATGAAGAGGAGGAGATGAAAATGGGATGCTTGTGGCTCTGGCCTTTAAACAGATGGTGTCCAGACTGAGACAGATGAGGAGTTAGACCCAGGAGGATTGGTGTAAAAAAGGGGGAGGAGAGGACACGAGAGACAAGGTGGAGAGTACCAAAGGGCACAGAACCTGAGAGTCCTCCTATGATGTGGTTGTTTTTTGGTGTTGTCCATTAGAAGTCTGGTTTTACAACTGCAGTACAGACACATACCTTTTTTATTATCTGATTTGAATATTTTAATGCATTTGGACATCAAATAGATCATTAAAAATGTCTGGGTATAGGAGCTCTGCTTGCTCACCTGGTAGAGCTAGTGCCACGTGTACCAAGGCTGAGCCCCTGCTGCAGTGGTCATGGGTTTGAGTCCGACCTGTGTCCCTTTGCTGCATGTCATCCCCTCTATCTCTCTTCCCCTTTTCTGTCTATCTTAAGCAATCCTGTCAAATAAAACCAAAAAAAAAAAAAACAATATATATATATTTGTAAATGTCTGGGTGGTGTTTGAACTCTTCATGGCGTTACATCATTAGTCCAGGTCTCAGCAGTACAGAGTTAAAGTCCTGACAGATGTGGAATCGGGCAATATCTATTCATTACCTACTTTGAAGCTAGGCTGCAGTCAAAGCTGGGGCCTTTAGATAAAGGACAAAATTTGCTCTTATTGTAAAATGAAAGGTAGATATAATAAAATTAAAATTAAATTGCCTAATATGTGTGTATATCTTATCCAGATCTGTTGATGCCAATCTGCAGTATCCTTTTTGCTGTTTCTATGAGAAAAAAATAATCTTAAGATTAGCTGTATTTTTTGAAGTGCCAAAATGTTTTAAACAGCCAACTGCATGGCTCTATATGGATAGTATTGATTGTTATATGGTAATAAATGGTAGTTTTCTTTAGGATGTACATGATTTATATACTTATAATACACATGGAGGATATTCTCAACTGTTAAAATGTTTTTATGGGCAAAAAGGGACATTTTCAGATCATAATAATACTATAATAACTATACAATAATACTTGTAGCAGAGGGCCAAATTTGCCCAACCCTTGGGATATTAATTTAAACTGTCATTGATTATTACAGTGTTTGTGAGGCAAATTCAAAATAGACCATCAGTGATTATGGTAAATGTATTTGTTCACAACACTATGTCATATTATCACATTTATTGGTTTTCCTGGAAATCACATAACCTCATCTAAACTTGTGATGAAATACACATTAGATTCACACTCATGACCATGTCAACACCACACCTGCTGACCCTCAGCTCTCAGTGACATTGTCCTCTTATTTGGACAGAACGGCAAAATACAAAAGAATTTACACTCCCTATACCTCAATATACAAGACATATCCAAATCAGTGAAACGGCTACATTCCGTCGGGCTGTAAAAAGGCAGTGTAAAAGATGCGTTCACTGACCTTGAATAATCACTGAGAAAGGCATACAAATACTAATGTTTATTAACAATTCTGAGAAATAATCTCATCATATGACACACCTCCCTTACTGTGATGAGCAACAGTACCTAGGATGATATTTCCCAATCGACAAACGACAGAAACGGTCACATCTTGGAGAGAATGATAATGATGTTAGCCATATGCCAGGGCCTTCTCAATAACCACACATGATCCCCACTGAACATTTATGGTGCCATTTCTGACGCTGTGAGAGGAAACATTTTCCATCGGCACAGAGGTGGAGGCGATTTGTGATTTACTCACTATGATTATGTTAGTAATGATTAGCACTGACATTTCCCTCTAAGAGATTAGCAGATCAGAAATAAAATGCCAGCGCTGCAATACCACACCTACCACAACATAAACTCAAACTGAACCACAATATCAAGCTTTGGTGCAAATACTGTATATATGTTGCAATAAAAGGTGTTTGATTGAATAACCTTTATTAAATTTGGTATCCACCTATGTTTTCTTGCTTGGATAAATGAGTTGTTTTGATTTACAGCCCTCACCCTCCATCTCCTAACCCCATGCCTCAATCAGCACTGGGCCTATTAAAGTGCTGGAAATGGCAAAGCATGTGCTCTGGTGAAATTAACAGCTTATGACCAAAACAAATGTCTGTGGTTCACAGATTGCCAACTATCCACAGGCCCATTTGGGCTTTTAAAACTCTCATCACAAGCTCAGGCTTCACAGATATGATGAGCTCTTTCTGGTGTTTATTGTTTTTTTGTAAGTTTTAATTGGCAGACCAGGTGGATGCATTTTTTAAACAAATTTTACTCGATTTTCTTTCTATTTAGACACAGGTGCTCACTTGACCTTATACTGGGATCTAGGGGGAAAAAGGCGTCATTGGAAGTAGTTTCACGTCTAGCACACTATAATCAATTTATGTTCATCGAGAACAAGGCTGCTAATAAGTTCACTGGGTTGTAACCTTTAGATCGAAACGTCTGCAAATCAAACAAATCCAACTAATAAAGCTCTGCTCGCCCGCAGGCGCGTTTTTAAGCGCTGGGAATGGAAGTGAAAGAGGTTTGGACAACAAACACTCCCTCATTGTCCCGCTGTGCGTGTCGTCACTTGGTTTTATGGGGAGATAGGGTTGTCTTATCTTGCGCACGACCACACGGGGTTGGATGGAAGAAACAGACAACAGAGAGCAACAAGCCAAAAAGGATGTGATGCGCACCTGCAGACACCATGACAGACAGCAAGGAGGACGAGCGGGACTGCAAAGCTTTTCCACCCGCAGTCAAACCTAATCCCACGTCCTGTTTTCAGCTCTTTGATTCGACTCAACTTCTTAAAAGCCAAGGCGGCATGGAGGCTGATGGGAAGATAACTTTACCTGCTGGTGCCTGCTCTGGCTGCTTATTGGAGATGAGATGCAGCTTTGTGTGCGATTATTGAGTCGGTTGGCTCTGGGAGGAGGGTTTAAATGTGCAAGGTAAGTTTCAATTTAATGTTGTTTACTTATCCTGCACCTCTGCTCAATCTCTGCTGCGCAGTTGCAGCAAGTTTGCGAGATTAAAAGCCTAAAAAAGCAAGTTCTGCAAAACTTATATAAAATAGATAAAATAATAAATAAATAAAAATCTCCTTCTCGTTTGAAACAGGCAGCTCGTCTGCTAAGAAAGATAACCTACACTACTCGGTAGTGTGTTGTGCAAACTGTATTTTCCTTAAACACATAGGGGAAATGCTGCTGGAAACAGTATAATAATTCCACCCATTTCCAGTGTATATCAAGTAATTGAACAAGGCGGAATATAATATTCACCTCACATATTACTGCGATTTTTTAATTGTTTTTAGACAATAAACCTTGATTTTAAGTATTCCTTATTTGTCTAAATTACTTAATTAGTCGCCTGGTTTTTGTAATCTTGATATCATTTCAGGACCTCGGACAGCGCCGAGTCTCTGCCAGCAGTAAGTGTGTAGATCCACCACTAGGGGGCAGCACGAGCCCCTCTTATTCCAGGCTCTTTTGATCCTTTAAATTCGGCCAAGTTTTACATTTTGACTGACAAAAATAAAAATAAAAGCAACATTAATGTGACTATGAAAAGAGCGACAAGCAGAGATGTGACAAACACAAGCTGGCAGTTATCATAATGGCACACAATACAATATCCCATAGCATAAATGTCTGTATTATGTACTACAAGTTTGGAAAATATGCCTTATGTTAATGCATTCATGGAAATGATAAAAATAATAAAATCACATTTAATCATAAAGTTGAAGCAGAATCATTTCCCAATCTCTGGCTGTATTTCTACTGACTTCAGGATCCTGTGAGGACAGAAGCATGATGCTCAGTCCCGACCAGCCAGAGTCCGATCCGCCCTGGGGACAAACGGACCCGGACACCCTGCTGGACACTTTCAACGCGGGTGCACGCGGGTCCGTGCCGGCCGAACCCGCGGGTGGAGAGGGCAAGGCGCGCTCTGTGCACGTGCCCGCTCTCAGCAGGGAGGAGAAGAGGCGGAGGAGGCGCGCGACCGCTAAATATCGATCCGCGCACGCCACCAGGGAGCGGGTCCGCGTGGTGGCCTTCAACGTGGCTTTTGCGGAGCTGAGAAAACTGCTCCCGACGCTCCCACCGGACAAGAAGTTGTCCAAGATTGAGATCCTGCGACTCGCCATTTGTTACATCTCCTACCTCAACCACGTGCTGGATGTGTGAGGTGCGAGGGGCAGCAGGAGGAAGGACTGAGGATGAGGAGGACTGTCTGTAACCAGCCACGACTGCTGAAATGATTTCTGGAAGCAGCGACAGAGGATGCTGACAGGACTGGAGGAATATATGGGGTTATAACGGAGTGGCCCTGTACACAGACACACTGCTGTGCATCCCAGCATTAATGGGAATATCACGTTGCTTTGTCATCATAGGGAACTGTTCAGTATTCTTACTGTCATCACAAAGGATGGGAATGAATGGGGAAAGCTGCTGTATGTGTAGGCAAACTACTCAAACTTTGCAATGCCCGACCTAAAATTTGCTGCCTATATCTGTTGTGAATTTGTTTCCCGTTTGCACCATTTTGTTTAAATTACACAAAAAATAGCCTACTGGACTTTTGTGTGCTTTTATGTGGCATTCAGTTGCAGCTGGAATTCATACATTGTAAATAAACTGTTAAAAAGATTTAAAAGCCTGTTCAAAGCTATTTTGTTATTTATTGCTGAACCCAAGGTTTTTTGCAAAGGCAAAATCTGATTTGTAGGCCTTATTAGGTTCATCTTGTCTTTCTATGTCTTTGAAAGCATTTTGCAGGTATTTAAGATAATACCTTCTTTTTTTTTATTAGTAAAGCTATTAAGGGAAGCTGCCATACAAGCTGTTCCTCTGCCCCATATAGGTATGGTTATTGCTGGGGTTTCTCTCCCTCTGGATGTGGCAGGTGTTTCTCCAGACGAACCATAACAACCATACTATTGGTTATCCGTCTGCCTCCTCTCTGGGGATACACACACTAATGCACATACATACAAATGACACAACCAAAAATCCCTTGTGGTACTAACTCTAATTTTATGTAGCAGTGATGAACTTATACTGTAGGTGAAAGTGGGCCAAATACACACATTTTAGAGTATTTTCAAACAGTGTGTATGTTATGTTACAGTAAGTGTGCATGATTGTCTTACTATCAGCAGCCCACAGTTGAAATCCCAATGTTTCGTAACAACACTGCAACTTTTTATTTTAAACGACAAGCAAGAAAGACATAGTAGTAAGTTTTGACCAGTGTTGTGGATTAATGTCAGAGTGATTTGGATATTTGGATAAATAATCTCTGGTAACTTTAACCTAAAATATCTAAGTAAAACAGTCCCACCACCACATTTTTTTTTTTTTTTTTGGAACCTGCCTTCATATTTCCTGATGCTGTTAAATGTTTGTTTACGTCAGTAGTATCTGTCAAGCAGCACAATTGGCCTTTTTTGTCCATTAATTTAGTCAAATGAGAATATACATATATTACAAAAATGAATAATTGAACATTAGTGCTTTAATATTTTGGTATGAGATCAGGCAGTGGATATGAACTCCTGCTTTGATTCCTCTCTCCATTAGTCAGACGCTGCCTGCGCTCCTTCTCTCATCTCTTTATGCGAGTCTCTGCGGTGTAATGTGGCCCAAGGGGCTTGAAGTATTGTTCATGTCCACTCCAGCAGCAAGAGTGACAGCCCTTTGTCTACACATTACACACACTACACACTTGCTCTACACACTGGATACAATAGGTATGTTGGGAAGTAGAGGGAGAGAGGCCAAGCCTAACATCAGATTTTAAGATAAATGGGGCAGGCAAAGTTGTAAAGCCCATACAAAGATGGTTATTAATATTCTGGATAGTTTTAGCCAATGTGGGTCAAACAGTAAAACTAGGCAAGAACTGTAGGCTGTTTGTCTCCATGCAGCTCTGTCACACACTCACAGCATCTGCAAATTAGACTTAAAGATTGTCTTTGCTTAATTTACTTTCATGCATGAACAGATTTGGAGTTGTGGTTTGATGTTATTCTGGACATCCCCTCTTTAAATGTCACGCTTCCGACATAGTTTACCAGTTTGGTAAAGACTTGTGTTTGGAAGGAGCAACACTGCCCTCTGATGGAGTTTCATAGAGGGGAATCTAACTGTAAAAAGGTCATATTCACTTTTTTTTTATAGCCTTGGCCTCTGTGGATGTATATTTTAGAGGGGACCTTGCACATTGTTGTTTAAAGAGGCCTTTTTTTTTTAGAAATATAGACTACAGACAATTGTATGGGCACGTGTGTTTGTATCAATTATGCCTCTATGCTCTGCTGAGTTATTGTAAAGACTTGTAACAGTTTTAATGTCTGTCTTCTAGGCACAGTCTCTCTGTGGCTTGTTTTTAATTTACTTTTATCACCGCCTCACCCAAGTTATGGCCGTAGGGGAGGGAGTTATTGGGGTTCAGATGATATTGAAGGTTATAAGCTACATGTTTTGTGTGTGTCTTGAGCCATTAAAAACACTGCTTTATTTTCATTTAGTAGCTGTTCTGGAGCTTTCGATCACTTGAGATTTATCAGCAGATGGGAGTTGTTATGAAATTGTAGATTTCCATTGTATTCGTGTTGGGTTAAACATGAAATGTGAGCTGTTGAAGATCAAAAGCTCTGGAACAGCTGAAAAAAAAACATTTTATCTTTTTGTCAAGTGCTGTTTTTGAGGTCAAAAATAATCTTTAAAGCTCCACACTGTTATACTGTGTATTAGTGACATTGTTGTTTTTTTATCTTGATGCAGCAAATAAAATGATGTAGCAAACATCTGTTTAACATTAAATGAAGGTCCTTTTTTTTTAATACCACCATCTTACCTTGGCCTGTGTGCAAAAGTGACCCTTTTCATAATAGATTTTTATTTTTTTCTCTTTTAAATTATATAAATTAGCCAATCTGTGGCAGATTTATGCCGTCCACCCCCATGCAGTTTCTGTCTTTCTGTAACAGTCCACAGGTGACGTGTCTGTGTAGTCTATGTCGCTGGCTCAAAGTACTTATGAACTGCTGTAATATTACATGGCTCTATTGTGGTATGGTAATACACACAAATGAATCCAGGAATATGCACCTTTTGCTGTGGTATTGGCTGACATAATCAAGGTCTTAAAACCCATATGGACCCTCTTTTCAAGACAGAGCTTCAAGATTAGGTAGTGAAGCAGGAACCACCTTTAAGCCATAATCGTGTCAGTAGCTTACTTTAGTGCACACCAAAACAGAATTACAAATGCCCCAAACCAGCTGCCATACAGCGAACTTGGTGGACTGTAATCCAGATGCACTTAATGGTTAATAATAAAGTTTTGCAGGTGAAAATTATTTAAATGCTACCTAGTAATATTTAAGTCAAGATCACTAAAATGCTTCTGGGATATTTTCTTTATCCTGTTATATTATTTAAACCTGCAAGCTTAAAGATCAGCTCCAGGCATTTTGCTTAAAGTTTAATTAATTACTTTTATTCATTCTTCCTCATTGAAAAATCCAGATTCTATGAAGTTTTTAAGTTCTTTTTCTACTTCACTAAAAAAATCAAACCTCAGATGTTTCAAGTTTCCATATCACACTTGTTTGAATTTCCAATTGGACCCCACTGGCTTCTAAAGGAGATGTAATGTCACAAGATCACCAAATTCATGGTGAGAGATTCAGCAGATAATTGTGAAAACAGCCTTGTAGCGTCCGTCCAACTCTGCACAAACATCATTCTGCACATTGAAGGTCAAACTATGACACGGCAACAATGATCAAAAAACAAATTTTTTGACTGGGAGGTGTTTAAAAACGTTGATTCACAGAGAATATATCCCTCCCTCCTGCGTAAAGGACGACCTCTTGTGGGCTGCAGCTAAAAATACTAATTTTAGTGCACTTGGAAGTGTATTGTACCTCCATGCTGCCTTCCTCTCTGGTGCTGCTGCTAACCACAATGGCCAGGCTCGTATGAGGGAGCTGCCCTGTCAGTACAGTAACAGACGCGCCTCAGCAGCAACAGCGGCGGCGGCGGCGGCAGCGGGGGCGCATTCACCGAGACGCAAGAGGAGGAATAGATATGGCACACATCTGAGAAATAAAGGTGGGTAAATGAATTGATAATCGCGATGCCGTGTTCATTACACCGGGTATATCCGTTGCTGGCAAAAGCCTGAGCCCTCACAGGAATTACTGATGAAGTTCAATGCTGCCGTCGTGGAAAAAAATGGTTCCCTTCTCATCAGACAGATGTAGCCTTTAGTCCTCCTATCTTACATTTATGTGCTGATCTAACCTTGTAGATTTTATTCAGCTCCTGTATCACATATGTGTGTACATAAATAGATAGAACCAAGAGAATGCAGGTATTATTTGAAGCATTGTGGTTAATGATGTTCAGGATGTGGCTGAAACGAGATCTATTGTAACCGAAACTGCAGCTGTGTAACGGAGAAGTAACATCACATCCCTCGCTCTCCCGGACCCAGGAGCCTGTAAAATAAAGGGCGTTTCAGATCATGCCTCCGCTGCAGGGTGACGGTGTGTATCGCCATCATCATCAGCAGCTGTCTGCAGAGCCGCGCACTGTGCACAGCTGGATGAGGTGTTACTATGACGAGCCTCCTCTTGACACTGTCGGTGCCGTCTCCCTCGGTATCTCAGAGTCATGATGCTGCAGTGAAAACTGTGAAACAGCACCTACACTCATTCATTATTGAGCAGTGCTGATAGGTCCTGAGCATGAGAGGTTTAGGGACAATGAGGTATGCAAACCTTTTAAATAGATGAGTCATTCCCCTGGAAGCCATTCTTGCCATGAATGATCAAAGGACAGTGGTGTTGGCAATGCTTTTGTCGTTGTTCTCTTTTTAAACCCTGTTTTCTGGCTGGCAGGGCAGTGTCACAAGTGTAATGAGAAGTGCAGCTACCTTAAGGCTACTGAGGTGCATTAGGAGAGCTTGGATAGCACGATGTAATGGGTGCTGCATTGTAGAGTAGTGTACAGTAGTGTATTTACACATAAAAGCACTGCTCTTAAAGTGGGGAATGTGCTGAGGTATCTGTCCCTCGCTCGCTCTCTCCCTCTACTGTACTTCTGTTTAGTTCCACATGAGCGGATCAGAGGGGGACTAAGTTTGCATTCCAGAGAACTGTGTCAGGTCTTAACTTTCTCCTTTTACTGTGGGGTGGATGTGTGAAAGAGAAGCAGGGTGGGAGTGGCTGAGACTCTATCCAGTCACTCAAAGGTCACAGGTTTGCTCTCTGCACATAATCTAACAAATACCTTTGAGACAAGACTCAAATGTCACAGCAAACAATGAAAGGAAGTTCCTAATATCCAAGTGGTGAGGTCCATGAAATGAGGGGGAAAAAAATGCTGCGTCCGTGGGAGTTTCACGTCTCTGCATCTATGGCTCTGTTTATGTGATCTTGGTCAGTCAGCAGCGATGTTATAATATGTTAATCAGCAGCTGTTCCTCTGGGTTATCTGAAATCCATGGAGGGATTGGAGATTGTTATCACCATAAATGGCACACACTGTGTCACCCATTATTTGATTTGTTTGAGAGGTCTTATCCTGCTTACTGGACCGTGTTACTTGTGTGTGTGTGCTTTTGTTTTATTTGCCATTTGCCATTAATGTGTTTTATTAAACTAAAAGAATATACAGCTGAAACAATTAGTTGGAATAGCTTTGATAACTGGGAAGTTTGGTGTCCTCAAGTCAAAGTTGGACAAAACAAACAATTTGAATAAGTCACCTTGTGCTCTGGAAAACTGTGTCACTGTAAATGACACTGTATAGACCAAAAGGTCAGGTAATCGAGCAGGTTGATCAAAAATGAAAATAATCAGTCGTTATGGCCCTAATGTAATATCATGCTGTATATGTTGTCGCCGGGGTTTGGGGGTTTTGTAGTTTGCTGATTGCTTTGAAATTGTGAAACAAACGATAAAGGAAATGAACTAACACAGCAGACTGCCAGCTGCTGCATCTGGCAGATTAGGGCATAATGCCACCAGGGCAGGGCGCACATGAAGGAAGGAAGGCACGAGGGCTAATGGGTGTGAGGGAGGGCACAGATGCCATGGTAACCAGGCCTCAGTCAGCGTGTGCTTTAGATGAGCTCCCAGGCTGATCTGTACCATTCAGGGTGCCAACATTGCATCGGTCCCTTTAACGGAATCTCAAATTCAAACACTTATCTTTCGCTGCTTGATTGGAGACCAAGGATTTTGTAGCCAAGGATATTAAACTAAAATCCCACTTTCTCTGTTTTATCATTAATTGATGAGCTGGATCAGCAGGGCAAAATGCAGCCAAGAACCTGACCTATCAGATGTCACTGCTCTCCCCGTGGAGACCCACACATATTTGTTGCAACCGTGCAGTTTATGTTGTAAAAATGAGTCCATAGCAGCACATGCGCCTGTACCCCTGAGCCCAACCGTACATAATTACAGCCACTCCCACTGTGCAGCAGCCTCCATCCACTAAACAAACACGTTAATGAGTGTTTGTTTTACATTAGTGTCACTTTCTGCCCTCATGAATCTCTTCTCGGTGCAGCCAACCAGAATGGTCTGCAGCAAAGCAACTACGCTTCACTAGAGAAATTCCACACTTTCAGTCCCTCTCAGATGACTACTGAATTTTTTTGGATGGACCGACTCAGAATAAGCAGGCATCCGCACGTCCCTAACGCTCGTTGTTATGCCCGCATGCTTTATTCATAGTTTTCCGTTGGTTTGTAACTGATAGTTTTTTTTACCCTGTGGCTGTGATTTTCCACATGGCCTGGTTCACTATGCCTCTTCATGCTCGTCTCGTGGATGAGTGGCTTCTCAGAGGGATCATCTTGGCCCACATACACCACTGCCACGCGCTCAGAGATCAGCACTCTGGGGGTTAACGGCTTTTATTCAACTCGTGGGCTTATTCATTTAACCACACTGGTGCTGGGTGTGATGAGACGCCATTGTTTGCTCCTTGTGCCCTCTCACTGTGCCACCCCCCACACTACACACACACATTATGTGTATCACACAAATTTACTCTCAGCAGGGGTGATTGATTATGGCTACTAGATGGGGCCTCCTGCCTCTGGTGTTGCCAAGGCAACAGTGGACGCTCCAGATGTAAGTGGATGAGATGTGACTTTCCTCTGTCCAAACTCTGCTTTGTGTTTAAAATTTGATGCTGCGACATGAGCTTTGATGCTGTGAGTGGTGTGTTGCAGTCGTACAATATTTATTGAAGTCCTGCATATATGCAGCTCTGCCTTGTTCAACATTTGTTCCCCTGCTTTTAATAGCACAAGTGGCTGCATCAGCGGAGACTCTATTCTCTCTCAGAGAAACTGTGCTTTTTGCCACTGCAGCATTATTACACACCTGGATAACAGTAGGTTACTGTATAGGCCTGCGAAATAATACAAATGGATAGCTTTTGTCAGAGACATGTAATCCTATAGACTCACAGTGGTAATGTTATTACATAATTTATATGCATTGTACGAGAATCCGTAATGGAAAATGTGTGATTTCTCTATATACAGTGGCCACATTTCCCATGATGGGTAATGGAAGGAAAACATTCAACCCCATCCGTATCATCTTAATGGAAATCAGCTACATTGCAATGTCTTCCTCTAACCATCGTTTCAGAGCATGATCTCCATGCCAGTGTGTGGATTCACATCCTAATATGCTGAATGGGCTGTTTTACTGTTTATATGCTCCATTGGCTACAGCGATAACAAATAGCCTGTAAACGACGTGAGGGAGAATAATTCCCGGGTAATAAAACGAGACACAGACTAAAACGAGAGAGATCGTGATTGGCAGGTGGTTGTCAGGACAACAGCTGGGAGACAGGCAGGGTGTAGATTGAGGTCTAAATGAATGGTCATGCATGGTGAAGCACTAAGGCATCCTCATGCATCACACAGCATACATTAGGGCCCAGGAAGTGAGTCTGATAGTTTCAGTCTGACCTCATAAAGACAGGATGGAGAGTTCACATAGACATAAACTAATTTTATTTGTTTAAAAAAGGACCACATCTCTTGTTACATTTGTATGCTTTCAACATGGCCATGAAGCTATAGCCTTCTTTTAATCCATTTATTGTGTGGATGTCTTGGTTTCAGCAACGTGATGATAAATGTCTACAATTAAAATCTTGCACATGATGAATATTTTGTTTTAAGTGAATTCCATCTATTTTTTTTTAATATGTTTGAATTTGTGTCTTTTTGGCAAAAAGTAATACATAAATAAATAAATAATAATAAACAGCCTCAGCATTGCGTTGGCTTTAGTATTTCTAAAATCCTGGATGGCTATTAAGCATCTTGTATAAGGAGGTGTTAATATCAAATATGACATTTTGTGCTGTGTTGAAACTGGTTGCACTGGCCTTTGGTTTTGCACTGGCCTTTGGTTTTCGCTCCTACAGTATGTCTGTGGGATTCTCATCAAAAATCTTTATTTATTTAAATTTCTGTTTAACCTGTACTTAACCAGGAAGTCTCCTGAAATGCATTATTTCTTTGTCAACAGAGACCTGGACAGAATGGCACCATTAAGACATAGTCACATAAAAACCCACATACACACACATTTATTTGAGAGGCATAAAGGAGAAAGCTTGATAATTAAAAACAGTTACATTCTTCATGAAACATGTTTTAAATGTTTGCGTTTGAGTGCTCAGTTTTAAGGCAGTGTTTCCAATTAAAGTTTGTCTTGTAAATTATTCCAAGCCCAGAGTACAAAAATGCTGTTTTGCCAAGTTCAGAACAGACTCAGAATATTATACACCCATTATTCAGTTTTATCTGTTAGAGACAGGAAAAAGCATTTTACAGAGGTGACTAAACCGGTCTTATCCATATATTAGAATGAGCACAAGCCTGTACAGAAAAATATTGCCTGGCTAGTATATGTAATTGCAATAAGCAAGTTTTAATGCAAGCTTCATACCCTCTATCTCTCAGGTCAATGTGGCTACTAAGGCGGCTATCTGGAGTAGTTGTCAGTCATCGTGGATTCCTAAGGCCCGTCTCTATAGCAACCCACTCCTCCTCCTGAGTACTGCTGCCAACTTACCCTCTCTACCACACAACGAAGCTCTCCTCATCCCCCGGGCCAATTGCCAGCTCTGAACTGCGTTGGAATGGACACTGAGTCGACACACTCGGGCTACTCCTATCACTCCAGCCGCTCCGGGAGATCAAACCGTCATGGGTATGTTTCCTGTCTGTCCGCCCTTCCATATGACTGCCTGCTTCTCCGCTGTATCTGTCTATCTCCCCCTTCCCATGACACAAATGTCTGCTGGATCACATGCTGCATCACTCACAGCAGCCTTTGGTTGCAAAAGTATTTCATGTAAAGTCTTTAGAGCACATCGAGGTTGTTGTTTTTGTGTTCAGTTTGAGCAGACCACATGTTGGTTATAGCCAAATAAATCAGATGAAAGACTAAGAGAGAGACAGGGAGAGGTCGAGCTAGAGATTGAGACAGACAGGGCTTGTGGATTAGGGTCGTCACAGCTGAGTGGCTCTAACCTATTTCACTCAGTCTATTCTGCAAATGAGAGAATCACTTGATTCCCCTCCTGTCGATTCCTCACCCTTCTGTTCGTCTGCTGAAATATTCATTTTTCTTCCTTTCCACCAAATGTTTGCCATATAGTACTGCAAATAACAATTATTATCATTATTGAATAATCGCCCTATTGTTGTGCCTATCTTTTTATTCATCATTTGGCCTAGAAAAGTCCAGATGTCCTGATTTTCCAGAAACAATAGTCCAAAACCCACATATAATAAGGTTACTATCATAAAAATTCTTTGAGAAGGAACCAAAGAATATTTGCTTAAAAAAAGAAAGATTTCAATGACAAAAAAAAGATGGTTTCCAATTAACTTTCTGTCAGTCTGATCAGTTTATCATTTCAGCTTTTGTTTTGTGTGTGTATTTGTGTTTGAGTACTCATAAACAAGCTGGGTGAGTTGCTTGTATTCAATCAGTTTAGACCTGAATTAAATCGATTCAAATTTCCTTTCTTCTATAGAAGATGTGGAGGCAGATATTTTGATAACTGATTCTTTGGTCTTTTATCATTTATCAGATTTTCTTCGACATATACAAGTAATTCATCAAGTGAACTGATTTTTGGTATGTTGTGGACTGTTAGTCAGACAAAACAGGAAATTGTTAATTATTTTCCGACATTTTGTAGACCACCAATAATGAGTATATGAGCACATGGGTATGTTTCTGATCATATATTTATGTGTCTATATTCCTCTTATATTGTTCTTCATGTTCATTGTATGTTTGTTCATCTCCAGGGATCGAAGCCGTGAGCGGCACAAGGCCAGCAGCAGCAAAGACAGCAGTCGCTCTGAGAGATCCGTCGTCATCAACCCCCCTGACACCCCCTCCCAGGACTCCCCTGTTCACAACGGTGAGCCGCTGCCAGGAGAACCCACACCAGCAGCAGATCTTGGAGATGAGGCCCAGGTATTTTTTTTAATGGAAGTGTACATTGAAGTAACACAAAACTGTATGCATGACAAAAAGGGGATGTCCAAAGTGTGACGGAATGCAGGCTGTTTTTAAAATAAATTATTTATTCTTGTAGAATAAACCAGAAAGCCTAGTAATCCATCTATGAACTCTGCACCATGACCTTATAAACTCGTCCTTACACAGCTGGCTGCCCATTGGCATAACGCCTGACACATAATAACAATGGTGACAAGGGATCAAATAGGTCAGAGGATTAGCATCCCTCTTGTAGGCCTGGACGGATTTGTAAGGGCAACGTTGTGTTACAGTGTGTGCATGTGGTGTGTGTGTGTGTGTGAGAGAGATACAGGGTATAACTGTCAAGCGCGAGAGCTTTGAAAGCAGAGCAAATTGGTACCAGTCAGTCCATAAAGCTGATTTTGCCGAGCTCTGCAAGCAAAATAGGTTTTTAAGTAGAAGCAGGGAAAATGCTGTGATAATGCAGCTCAGAGTGTATATTTAACTAAGTCAACAGCAGGGATTAAAGGTGCATTCAAATTTTGATCTTTATTTAAAGAAGAAGCTCGACTTATACGCTTACTGGCTTTCTTACAGAGAGTTTAGAAGATCTCATATCAGTGTACGGCCAGCAGTTGGTTAGCTTTGCCTAGCATAAAGAGTGGAAACCCTCTATACTCTCTCACCTCTAAAGCTAACACGCTATATCTCATTTGTTTAATCTGTACAAAAACCAAAGTGTAAAAACAACAGCTTGTGGTTTTATGTACCAGACTATTTATTTTACAGGAGCAGTAACTTCCTGGAGTCTTTTTGTACTTGTGAGCTTGCCAGGCATAACCCCCCATAAAACAATCACTTGTTGTTTTAACATCTTGGTTTTTGTGCCTATTAAACAAACAAGCCGTAACGTGTCAATTAGTGAGCCGTAGAGGTGCTGGCAACCATTTTTCTTAAGCTCTGGGCAGAGCCAGGCTTTTAACTATTTCCCCTCTGTATCTAAGCTAACTGTCCCCTGGCTCCAGCTTCATATTAAATGGAGAGATATGAGACTGGCGTAGATCTTCTTGTCTTACTCTTAGCAAGCAAGCAAATAAATGTATTTCCCAAAATGTCTGGCTATTCCTTTCAGTGCAAATGATCAGGTCAGTTGCAATGGAAAAGCTGAGGTGAATGAGAAGCAAAAAAGACAACCAGAGGAGGAGGAAAAGAGTTATAGATATTTTTCTTTAGAGAGAACTCTGCCTTGGGCCGCCTTCACAGGCTCTCTGACCTACTTGAAATCTGTCGTAAAAAGAGCCTATTTTGTCATTGTGTATGTACTGTTTGTGTGTAAGAAAAAAAAAAGAAAGGCAACCATGGGTGTGTGTCTGTGTGTGTGTGGTGCAGGCTGCCTGCAAAAGACATTCCTGCTGTGATTATGATTTGATTTAAGAATATGGAGTAGTATTTAATGCGATGTGAACATGTCTTCAGCCAGGCTTTTCTGACAATTTCTAGAAGGTCTGACCTATTTTTCCGTCTCTGCTCATCCACTTCTGGCTGGGCAGCCACATTCCAAAATGTCATGTGATTGTCACCTCGTATCTTACGTCCATTGTCCGCATTGTAAGGTAATCTGCCATTGTGTTGCTTCAGCCCTCCAGACAAATGTGTCCAAATGGCACAACAGCAGCAGCACCATCATTACCAGAACCACCAGCAGCAGCCAGTGCTTTTTTGGAACAGCACTGTAGATGGCAGAGTAGCTGTAACACTAACAGGCTCCAGTGTAGAGAGACATTCTCACAAACTGAGATTAGCTTTAGCATCCAGCCAAACGCCACTTTGAGGAAAGCTGATATGAATAATCCTCCATGTTTACACTCATGCCTATGACATAAGGATACGGTCTTGGACCACAGCTTCTGTGTGTGTGTGTGTGTGTGTGTGTGTAAGTGAGTCATAGAGAGAGCGCCAAGTCTGTTACTGAGACTGTCCATGCTGCTTTGTGAGACTTAGACGCTGTGACTTTGTGCCAGAAGGCAGCAGCTTCAATTCACAATGTTAGCTCTAGCAACACCAAAGCATATGGGGAAGAAGGATATACTTACATTGCTTCTGCTTTGCTTACACCTACTCATACCTGCTACGCTCACCTCCTTTTATGCAATGTAAAAATAACTGCCACAACAAAAAGAAGGGAGTAAATTATAGGAAACCTGCCAGGCATTTTAAACTAATTGTCATTTGTTTTCATCCCATTAGGTCCTATGACTGCTTTGAACCCAAACACATACACAGTGACACAAATCTGCTCCCCAGCACAAACACACTAAATGTGAAAATGTCATTTTACCCTCCACCCAGGCCAGTGGGGCTTAGCCATTGTGTTTTGCAGTTGGCAGATTGTTTGGTATGTGTGCGTGTGTGTGTGTGTATGTGTGAGTCTCTGTGAACAGTGCTAATCAGTACGTTGTTGTGTTGTTGTGCTTTGTGATGGTGGAACAGGCCTAACCATAATCCATATTCAGCCTCTGCCAGATGAAAAGAACTGCCAAGCAAGCAGCAGCTCTCTCTCTCTCTCTC